TGGATCACTAACAGTCCCCGGATAGCCAATCGGCTAAACCGGAAATGTGACGGAGCTCATGAGCACACACAGGTGTTGGGATCAAGTGGAGGATGCAATCGATCTACACAGGCACAGATCTACCCAAAGCCACTGATTCAAGCTATACTGGATGGCTATCGTGAAGAACTACAACACCAAGGACATTCCAAAGTGATCGAACAGGTCCAATGGATGACTATGATGGACTGCCAACAACTTGAAGACCGAATACAACAATATGAAAATCTTTGGAATTGGTTCATGGAAGAAGAACAGGAGAAGACCCATCTGGTGCAAGCCTTGGAAGAAAGACAGGAGGATGAAGATGAAAACGAAGAAGAAGAAGGAAAGAAATGGCTACCTCGAGAACGCCCCTTTTCTCTGGAACAACTGGTACGTCGAGCGCACGAAGGCCTTGGACACCCGGGCAATGATCGGTTGGCCCGAATACTCCAAGGAGGAGGAGCCTCAAAGAGAGCCATTGAATATGCCAAGAAGTTGACATGTTCAGTATGTCAGCAGCACCAGTTAGTTCGACCACCTCGAGCAGCCGCTCCACCAAAGGAATTACCTCCGAATCACACCGTTGGGATTGATACCACCTGGTTACCAACACCTGGCAAGAAGAGACGAATGGCACTCAACATTGTCTGTTGGGCTACACGATTTCAGATGGTGATACCACTTCGGAGTCACACAGCACCAGATGCAAGAAGAGCTTATTTGGAATGGGTGAGGTTCATGGGAGTACCCCAACGGCTGTTCACGGACCTTGGAAAAGAGTTTTGCTCAGCGTTCCAAGATGGTGCAGAGCTTGATGAGACACTGGTGGAACCAAGCGCTTTGGAAATGCCAACACAACGAGCCATCACAGAACGAGCACGGAAGAGTTTCAAAGAGATCTTGGACAAGGCGATGGACAACTATGCCACACAGTCTGAATCTGAGTGGAGAGATTTGGTGGACATCGTAAACATGACCGTGAACCGCTTGACCAACAGGTCCGGATACTCACCCTGCCAGAGGCTGTTGGGATACACCCCAAAGATGCCAGGGGGGCTGTTGGGATACACCCCAAAGATGCCAGGGGGGCTCCAGTTTCTCACCGAAGAAGAGAAGAAGGAGAGACAATGGGCTAATAGAGGAGACCTACAGATGCAAAGGGCACAAACGATGAGATTGGCTGCTGCCAAAGCATTTCATGAAATCGAATGCCAACAAGCCATGAAGAATGCCATGCACCACGGAAGAAGAAGCATAAAAGACTTCGAAGTGGGGCAGACGGTCTACTTTTGGAGAAGGGCACCAGGAGACAAAGCAAGCAAAGAAAGTACAAGATATTGGAGAGGACCAGCAAAGGTCGTGCTGACTTCCCCACCTGGTGCAGTTTGGATCAACTTTAGAAGACACATTGCGAAAGCGGCGCCTGAACAGTTAAGGCATGCCAGCATGGAGGAGCATCAATCATTGTCTTCATGGATGGAGGGATTGTCCCACCTACGGCATGTACTCGAAGAAGAACCCAAAGCCGGCTATATCGACCTAACGAAAGAATACAAGGAGGAGGACTTCGAAGATGATGGAGAAGATGTGACCTTAGAACCAAGAGCCTCAGGAAAAGAAAAGCCAAAATACAAGATCGAAGGAAAAACTGAACGGAAAGATGTAGTGATGAAAGATGAAGAAGATGAATGGATGTGGAACGAAGCCAAGCAAACGCTTACTCGTTTCCATCTCCAATACCGACACCATCTCTTCAAGCCCACCGATGTGCCTGACTGCCCTGTGGACTACAACAAGTTAGGATCGCAGAGGAGAACAACTATGTACTTTGAAGATGGATCTACAAAAGAAACCGTAGACGATTGGCACGACGAAGCTCAACCTGTCCAACCACGGTGGAAAGGCCGGACTGAGTTTCAATTCACGATGGAACAGTTCGAATGGGAGAAGGACGGACCAGAAATGAAGGAGGCTACAAGAATGACGAGCCCTACTACATCCATGCCAGAAGAAGCAATAGATGAAAGGAAACTCGGTCAGAAGCGAGAGGCAGAAGAAGATGAAGACAACAGAGAAGGTCTTGAGAAAAGAGCAAGGACCGAGAGAGTCGAGGACCAAGAGGAGGAGGCAGAGTTGGCTCGAGGACAATCTCGGCCGTTTGAAGTTGATGGAGAAGATCAGGCACAGGTCTCCAAACGACAACGACTTGACTGGTTTGAAGTGATGATTAACACAATGATGCCAGTCATGAAAAAGCAAAAAGGGCAAAACGAGATCAAGCTCAAACAATTGCTGGATGAAGCCAAAACAAAATACTACAAGGCGATCAAGAAGGAGATCGACAACAACATCAAGACAGGAGCATATGAGATTCTCTCCCCAGAGGAATCAGAAGAAGTACGACGAGCAGGACACAACATCCTTCAGTCCCGCTACGTCTTGGTGGAGAAACGAATTGAAGAAGACGAAGTACCAGCAATTCAAGAAGAAGGAATCCTACTGAGGACTGATGAACACGGAGGATTCAAGGCTAAAGCTCGACATGTGATGAAGGGCTTTAGTGAACCGGATTCTGAGTGGTTGGAAGCAGCTACACCGCAAACAGTCCTGCTTATCCTGCAAACCATATGTTCATCGAAGTGGACACCTGGGTATCTGGACTTCACTCAAGCCTTCCACAGCGGAGACCCCATATCGAGGCTGCTCTTTGCTGAGGTACCACCAGAAGGAATCCCAGGAGTACAAGAACGACAACTCCTGAAGCTGAAGAAACACTGCTATGGCCTCTTGGATGGTCCTTATCAATGGTACGTCCATCTACAATTTATGAAATGCCTTTCAGCCACAGGCTGAAAGGCAAATAATGCATATCAACATGTTGAAAATGCATATCCAAAATGCATATTTTCTGCATATTGGCATCCCTAGGCAAATGCATATTACCTTGACACTTGCTTTTTGCAAATATATGCATTTTTGCTCCCAAAAAATATGCAGAAAATATGCATTTTCTCTAGGAAAAATGCATATTTTCTGTATATTTTCTGCATATTGGCCTCACCAGGAAAATACATATTTCCTTGACACCTGTTTTTACAAATATATGCATTTTTGGCTCCCCAAAGATATGCAGAAAATATGTATTTTCCCTAGGTAAAATGCTTATTTTCTGCATATTGGCCTCCCCTGGAAAATGCATATTACCTTGACACCTTTTTTTGGCAAATATATGCATTTTTGGTGCAGAAAATATCAGAAAATATGCATTTTCCCTAGGCAAAATGCATATTTTCTGCATATTGGCTATCTGGGGAAAATGCAGATGTTTACACTAGAACGCTGACCGCTTAGAACCACATGCATTTTTAATATGCATTTCAGGATGCCTGATCTGCATATTTATGCGCATTCCTACATATAGGCATGTGGCCAAAGGCATTTCATCTACAAAAGATACTGACACAGTTGGGCTATGAACAATCACAAGCCGATCCATGCCTCTATTTCCTGTTCGACACTCCAGAAACAGCTGACAGAGATGAAGAAAGTGAGAGGCGACTAGAAGGAATCATTGGAGTGGCCACTGATGATTTGATCCATGGAGGAGGATCACGTCACTGGCAACAAATGCAATGGATTCAACAGCACTACAAGTTGGGAAAGTTCACGAAAGGAGATGGAAGATTCGTGGGAAAAGAAATCAATTGTCTCCCTGATGGAAGCATCAAGGTGCATCAAAAGATGTACGTCCAGGAAAAGATCAAGCAAATCGAAATCCCGAAAGATCGAAAGACCCAGAAATATGCACTATGCACACCAGAGGAGACTTCGTCCTTGAGAACGGCTTTGGGATCACTTGCTTGGTTAGCCAAAGAAACAAGACCCGACTTGATGGGTAGAGTATGCATCCTTCAACAGTGCATGCCACATCCATATATGAGGGACATGCTCGAAGCAAACGCCTTGTCCAAAGAGGCCATGGAAGAAACCGAGACAGGCATCATCTTGACTCCCATACCAATGAAAGAGATCCGAATCGGATCAGCTTCAGATGCCAGTTGGGGAAACTCCCCATGTCAGGAGCTCGAAGGAAAAAGCGAAGACTTCTGGGAAGAAAAGGATGATTTATGGATCCGACATCATGTCCAAGCACGACATGTTCTATTTCATCCAGGAGCGGCGTATGGAGGACCACAACTCCATGAAATAGAAGAAGAACGGGCCACTTGGATTGATGGAGAACTGTTTGAAGATACCTGGAATCGAAGAAATGATGTGAAAAGACATGGATCCTCTGAATGGAAAGGACACACCGTGTTTGTCAAAAAGAAGACCAACAAGAAGACAGAGATCCACGAACGATTCCTACAAGTTGGAAGAACCCATAGCCAAGGAGGACACATTGTGTTTGCCTACCACAAGAACCTAGAAACAGAGCAAACACCACAGCCCATTTCAGTGCTGAATTGGAAGAGTTCGAAGTTGAAAAGGTGCACGGTCAATACATTGGCCGCAGAAGCACAAGCAATGGTGCAGGCCGTGGGAGCATCCTATTGGATGAGGTTTTTGCTGGCTGAGATCAAAGGATTGAAGATGAGCCTACAGAACTGGCAAAAGCAAATCAGTCGGACTCCATATCTCACGGCAACTGATTCCCGCTCACTGTTCGACAATTTGACTAGATCCACCAACGTGGCAGCACACATAGAGGACAAGCGCACCGCGATCGACTTGGCCATTTTGAAGAATGACATGCGCACAACTCGAGGACAGACCCGATGGGTGCCAGGTTCGATCACGATCTCGGATAGCTTAACTAAAAAGGGTCCTTCTAGCTTTTTAAGAGGAGTTCTTCGTACGGCATGCTGGACCTTGTTTGAACTTGGAGCCGAAAGGCTTCAAGACCAAAGGAAGTTGGGACCGATGTGGAAAATGAGGTCCCATTGGTCAGCATTTTAAATCGAGAAGTGTACCAATGGACGCCGCCTCAAGAGAAGGCTCAGCGGTGGACCCTGGGTCGCGTCGGAAAAGTCCGATGCTGTGGTCCTTATTTATATATAATATGTTGCCGCCTATGTCATTTTTCGGCCTGTTCTCCTGACTTGCACATTCCTGCCTTCCTACCTTTCGTATTTCCCATTCTCAGTGTTTGCTTTTGGCAAGTCAGTCAAGCTCACTCGCCGTAATGGGTGCGATAGATGGACCCTATGAGCAAAACTAAGCTTGTTCCCAGGATTCGGCCATTGACCTTTGTAAAACTCTCCAATCACTGTGTGCAGCGGTAGAGAAATGTGAATCTGAATAGCCATAACTGGTTTGGGAATATGCTAACTCCCAATGAAATTTTGACAGCTTGACATATGTTTTGGAAACACGCTGTTTCTACAGCGATGCCCAAAACGATGCCAATGATACCTGGAGCGACACCTCAGAAGCCCATTCCTAGCCACAGCCCCATGTGTAGACTAGCAAGGAATTTGTCCAAGGCCTTTGCAATCTGTTGAAAGAATAGTTTTCATGTGAGTTGTAAGAGAAACCAAAAGGAACTCAGGGGTTGAAAGGGATTGTAGGGCTCTTTGTTTTTTGAGTGGGACTGTGTGGAACAAGAAGCAACCTTGAAGAGCGATTCCATGGCTGAACGCCGCACATACGCTTGCTCTTTGACATTCCCAATCATAAATATTGAGTATGTGCAAAAATGGTTGTCCAGACCGCCGCGTTGTTGAATGTCTCAACTAGGACGCTCGGATATTTTTATAGTCCAGAGCCACATTTTGGGTACGTTAAGGTATGTAGTCAATTGCAGCTGTGACCACAATACTGGACTGTCAAGATACCGTCAGTTTCCTCACAAACCACCACCAAGGATGTGTTTCCTCATTTGGGGTTTCCGCCTTTGGCCAGGTAGTCGTATCTCACCTCAGTGTATCCAGTGTGTCCCACCATAGTTCCTATGCAGATGTTGTGTTGCGCAGAGGCAATTGCTACAGAAAGAACCTTAAACACAAGGTTTGCCCTTTTCCAAGTGCACCACAGACTCACAGACATGACTCTGAATGCTACGTTCCTGGGTTTGCATTAACTACAAAGCACACTAAGGACGGTCTCAAAGAATTGCCGATCTACCTATCCCCAGTGATGCCGGTGACATCCGAGCAATTCGATGGCTCTGATTTGCAGATATTTCTCAGCAAGCTTGGAATAGGCTGAGTCGGTTTTAAGCCAAAGCAATGGGAGTCCCAGAGTCCCAGAGTCCCAGCCCTCAATGTTCCATGAAGGTTACGATGTTCTGCTGTTCATGGACTCCATCGAGGAGGTCATGCACCTGTCGGCGGAGAGCCAGATGGATCCAGACTTTGCTGCGCGAATTGATTTGATCCAGGTAGAAGCCCCGATGATGTCCCAGACCAGGAAGACAGAGGAACCATCAGGAACCAGACTGAGTGTAATGAACGTATTATATAGAATCTTAGGACTTGCTAAAGGACACCAACACCAATGATGGGAAGTTGTCATATGAGACTCTCTTCAGGTCACTGGGCCGCCGCAGACCATAGCAGCAGCTACCCCAACTGCCTCTCGACATAAAAAGTAGCAAGACCCATGTCACTTTGCAAGCTGATGGCTGAATTGTTAGGCCGGCTCCTGCGGCCTGCATGTCAGCTGGGCTGCGTTCCAGCTGCTGGAAATGCTTGGTCTTTTGGTACCTTCAAGGTCGCACAAACTTCCATGGCACTTGCTGTCCAAGACCCTAGATTTGTTGTATGAGCATTGCGTACCAGCGCTTGTGAAGTGTTAATTTTGACACCGGAGTTGTGTTCTTGCATCATATTGAGATTACAGAAAAGAACAAGCACTGCATACGTATTACGTGGCCTCATGCCTCGAAGTCCTTTTCAGTGTCCAACGGTTTCACGTGGAGGTGTGGCCCGGCGCTTTTTCTCGGAAACATTGATGGAACTGGAGGGGAGGATGCAGCCATGAAGCAGGCTGGCTGCTATAAACGTATGTCTGTTATGTTTACATCATGTGTCATGTATATATATATATGTTTTTTATTTATACATTGCATTATAGTAAACCAGAGTAAGACTTTCGCTGCAGAATTTAACTATTCATAACTCGATATGTTGAAATCCGCAGCAACTCGGCTCAGCGAGTATGCCCAGCGCGATCCACGACTGGGAGACCTGCCATTGCGGTTTGCCTTGCGGTGTAGAGGTTGCTGTTGTTCCGACTTTGGGGGAGAGATTCCAGAAAAGGAGTATCTCCGACTTCGGACCCGGTACTTTGAGCAACTGGACTTTAAGCAGAGTAGTAAACGCGGCGGTTGGAGTTGGCGAAGCCGGTAATGCCAGCACATCAGCGCGTGTCAAGGAGGAGGTGGAGGACAAGAGCCCAGATTCAGCCCAAGCACACACCCCTTGCGCACCCGACGCCAAATTTGTGGGGAGGAGGGAGGGGGAGGAACACCAAGAGAAGACGGAGAGGAGAAGATCGAGCAGCGCGAAGGGCTCACGTGACCGAGAGCAAAGGCAAGATGATTCCTCATGCAGGAGTAGAAGAAGGCAGAGGAAGCGATCCCAGAAATCAAGCAGCCCGAGCATTGAATTGAACACTTCCGGCCATCGCAGAGAAAAGAGCCGCACCGCCGCCAAGGGGACCTGCTAGAAAGCCCTCGACTCCAGCCGATCTCACGAGTTCCCCGCCGTGAGCCAGATCATCCCCCACCAGGGTATTCGAATGAATTCGACTTGGGCAGCCACACGTGCCTATGCCAAGTCAGCCGGCAGGCGTCCCACACCATCCAAAGGAAAGAACAAAGCGTGTTAGCGAAACGAGAACTATCGTCTCTATGCCACCCCACAGGAGAGCGGCAGCAGCAGCCCCAGAAACACCACGAGGCGGAGTTCTTCGACTGCCAGCCAGGAGGGAGAGCGAGGAGGCCCTTTTGGTGAGAGAGAACCAAACAGGGAAGAGTTGAGCTCCATCGCCCTAGCCGCTAGCCACCCGAAGCGACAAAGTGGAATGCGGGGGTTGGGGAGCTTCACTCATGATCGCAGGCGGGTGAAGGGGCGTGATGATGATTTCATGAGGGGATGCCACATGGAGGATTTGGGTCGTCACAGGCACTCAGGTCGGCAGGGAATTGATGAACCATGATGAACCACTCTGGAGGAAGTCGCAAGAGATTGTCCAGGAGCGCCAGGAGATCCAAGAAAATTTCCGCCTTTGACGACCTCCTTGCTGACTACATAGAACACCTCTGGAGTTCCGGGGAGGGCGAGCACTAGCCAGCGATACAGTGGCAGGACGCTGAACCACTGAAAACCCGGTATGTCAATGAAGCGCCAAGCCGTGCACCCCTCCCAGAAGTCTGCCATTGGGCGGTGATCTCTTCCACAAGAAGTTTGCATTTGGGCTTAGCTTGGGTTACTGCGAACGGGTGAGATTTGGGGGGTCCACAACCGCCATATCCTCACGTGTGACATCTCCTGACAAAACAGCGGTAAACGGGCTGGAGCCTGCGAATCACCCTCTCGGTGACTGCGCTGCCCACCGACCCCCAAACTGCACACCTGGAGAAAAATGTTTTCGGACTGTGTGAAAGCTTTGAACCGTTTGAGTTCTGTCGTTTAGTTTACCACGTGGTGGTGCAACTTGTTGTGGTTTAGACACCACGGTTCCCTCGATAGGATCTTGGTTTTTGGGCGTTGGGCTTCCGGCCAATTGCCACGTTTGCCTTAGATCGCCCCACACGTCTATATATAAACCCCTTTGCGCGCATGTTTCACCGGCATGACCTTGAGATGTTACCTCGTTCGCTTGAGTGCGCTAAAGCAGGAAGGGGGAAGTGGAAAGCACCGGTTTTTTCAAAACAAGCAGTGTGTTACAGGGGTCCTGGTCTGGCAGGACTCCTGGAGGGTAAGAGGGTGACCTGGCAGGAAGGTTGGTGCCTCTGTGATGGTGTGAACGGAGAATGAACCGTCTTCCATCAAAACATTTTCTTACGACTGCTTCAGCTTTTCTGACACACTATTGCATGCGCGGGTTCAAGCAGTTATATATATATACACAGGTCTCCTAATTCATCACTGTCGCGTTCGAAACCTTGACTTTGATATGGTATATTGTGCGGATGACGCAACCCTGGTCTCCACCAACAGCAGAGCTTCAGGGAACTACTGTACTTGAGTTTACTGAAGCAATTTCCGGCAAGTATGGCTTGCGGTTCAGCAAAAGAATGCAAAAGAAAAATGCATTGCTGTTAAGATAATTATGTCAAAACAGGGGACTTTGAAAGTGCAGTTTTTCTTGGTTTCTGCCCTGCGTTGAGGATTTCTGCCTGAATCTTTTGTCTTTGTTAAATTTTCTGTTGTTGACTGCCTTTTGCAATAGTGCAATCGCGGATCCCAGTTCCAGTGGTGCCTGATCCGGGCCCTTAGCCCCAAAGATGGCAGGACATTTGGCCGGAGGAGTGCCCCCAAAGATTTACAATTTCTGCCTATCGCACGCATGTCTAAGTGAATAGATCTACAAGCGGCAAAGAACACGCAGAGGGTTGAGATTATTTTCAGGTGCTTTTTTGAAAGCCAGAAGATAGGAGCAAGATGGAGCAAGGTTGTTTGACGCAAAGAAAGGGAAGGAGAAGAGTACCTTTTTGTTGATTTTGTCCTTCAAGATTATGCGCGTCAAGGAGTCTATTATTTCAATGTCAGCTTTAGACATATAAACGCAGACTTTCCTAAGGGTCTTCTACGCAAGAGAATTTTCAAGAGGGAAAACGCGGAAGAGACACTAAAGTTTTCTTAAGCCAGATCATCAATATGATACTATAAATGAATTCTTAGTGATGATAATGAATGTCTAATTTAGTATTGATTTAGTTGAAGGACTTACAATGTATTATGACAACCTGGGCTGGATCAAAATCAGGTTCAATAGAGCCCGAATTATGACGACGTCCTTCGATGTCATTGCTAACTCGACCTATTGACGACGTCGTTCGATGTCATTGCAACTTCGGCCTATTGCAATTTCTTCTGTGACTCAGTGACTCAGTTGATTTTGCTGGCAGCCTGAGCAGCTTCTCAATGGTTGCGTAATTGCGTAAGCCTTTGAGCCCGACCCCTTTGCAGGACCCGATTCGGCCGGTCCAGCGGAGAGATTTCTCAAGATGCCAGAATGTATACACTCGTCACGAGGATGTCAGGGGGCATGTTTGAGTGACTGAGCATGTGAAACAAGGCCGTTCACTTTCAGTTCAGTTGCTCAAGCCAGGGAGTCCTGGCAGTGATCGCTGGGGGTGGTGGAGGCACTGGCGCACGCGTGGTATGCGCTTGACGAGTACATGGCTTTTGAGTGTCTGGATGACTCCCTGTATGGGCAGGGATACGCGATCTTTGAGGTCAGAAAGAAGCGCCCTTTGGCAACTTTGGATGACGATGGTTTCTTCGTGAGTGGGAGTTATATGGCCTGCAGTGATGAGTACTATTGGCATTGAGTGCAACATGAGTTGAAGAGCGGGGCGCACCATCACATAGGGAGTACCTGAGGAACTGGGGCTTCAGCAAACGCGTTACAAGGAGGACGTGAGCCTGCTTGAGTGGAGGCCGAGTGGTGGAAGAGCGCCCCTAAGAGCAGAGCAGTGACGAAGGGCACTTGTGCTGCCAAGGAGGAGATGGAGCGGATGAAGAGGAGGCTGAGAGATCACCTTCGCCATTGAGGAGACGTAAGACCTCCGAGGCCGCCCCCAAAGAGACTGGGAAGAGGACGCCAGTGAAGGCTGGTGACCCTGTTAAAGGCAAGGGGACCACCCCCCGTTGTTGCACATGGTGGAGGGGCATCTGGCAAGGCCAAGTCGGCGCTGGACGACATGATTGACAAGGACCTCATGGATTTGGATGAGTGCAGAGCAGAATGATGAGTTGAGGGTCGACTCGATGTGGAGGGCCGGGCTTGCGAGCAAGGAGGCGATAAAAAGGGGCCAGGAGGCCGAGCGTGCTGCTGAAGCTTCATCGATCCTTGCCCTGAAGAAGGAGTCCGCAGGTCACCGCAAAAGAAAGAAGAGCTCGGGGAGGCGCAGGAGATCACGCTCGTCTTCGCGATCCACCACAGGGCGACCAGACAGCAAAGGGTCGTTGCCTGGTATATCAACAAGCCGACATGGTGGGAACCCCTCACCGTTGACAAGCGGAAGCTGCTCCGGAAGTGCAGCGTCAGCCATCCTGGCCGACTGTTGGAAAGGTGCTATGGCTCCACGCGCGAGCAGCTGGGGACGCTCTGCGGCGAAGGAGTCGATGACCTAGCGGCCGGGGTCCCATGTCTCCCGTGATGGTCCGCTATAATACCTGATGACGCTGGCGCTCCCCCAGTTCCCTCAACGCATCGACGCCTCGCCATTCAGAGAATTAAATACTATCGCAACTGCCCTCGACTTGCTCGTGGCAGGGCAGCTGGGGCGGGGCGGTGACCATTTGGCGCAGAGATTCGAGGCGGTGCTCATGGCGCAGAGGGACCAGCCTGATGCGGCAGCTCACTTCCTTGAGTTGGTCCCTCACTGCAGGAGACGTTCAGCAATGTGACCGTGAAGATGGCAGTCAGCCACGCAAAGAGCCAGATCTCCTGGTGAAGGCGCAAGGTCGCCCGGGCTATAGGGACTGAACGGGAGTATACTTCAGGGCCCCAATACACAGAGGGGCCCCCATAGTTACGGGACTTATAACTTGAGATACGGGACTTATAGAAGTTAAGTTATAACTCAATTATAACTAAAGTTACGGAAGTTATTAACTTCCGTAACTTCTGTAACTAGTTTGAGCGTCGGAAATGATTTAAAATTGCGAATCAGGTATGCGTATGCAAAAAACTTGTAAAACCTAAGTTTTTGTCTAAAACCATATGAAATGTATAGGCAAAATTGCTATAGCATGATTTTAAATTATTATTTGATGCCAGACAGGACTCCTTCAAAATGTGTATATGGGCC